CTCCGTCAGGTACCGCGCGCCTGAAGTACTGCTCCGTTCGACCAGCTACAGTAGCCCCATCGACATCTGGGCGGTGGGCTGCATCATGGCCGAGCTCTACACCTACCGGCCGCTGTTTCCAGGCAGCTCCGAGATCGACGAAATCTTCAAAATCTGCTCCGTCCTGGGCACACCAGACAAGGTATGACAGACATGGGGTAGTGAGACGAAAGTTCAGTCCCATGAATACATTTGGCAGTAGCATTTATTTGCCTACATTTTTGATGCAAGACTTGGAAAGAAGTTCTTTTATACAGTTTCTAGATCTGCCACAGCCCAACGAATAGGTTGGCGTACTTCGATTATTCTTTTGAAGAGCCATTCATTATAAGAATGTCCACCGGCGACTAGCATTCGTTTGCCTACACTCGTAATTATTCATTCATTTGCGTCATTTCTATACACTAGGACGACTTTGTCGCCCATTACGTTGTTTGCCCGTGGCGAGCCTCCCCAGTGAGTTGTCGCTGTCCTGGTGACACCGTTTGACCCGACTCTTGTCGCTCGATGCCGCCCTACTGTTGACCTCTTTACCTGCACTCGATGGGTGTTATAAACTCACATGACATGGCTGTGTTTGTGCTGGATTCGTGGCGTCTGCAGTTGACTTTGTGGAACCGCCCCGTTTCTGGCTGCGAATACCGTAACACAACACATATTAAAACCCATGACGGCGGTGTGTTATGTTTGCACCCAACTGTCGATTACCTAGAGCGCTGTGAAGTCACCACCTGAAGACCGTGTTGATTTGATCGATGCTTAAGCCTAACTACGGCGAAAAGCATGTGTCACACCGTACCGTGCTATATTGAACCGTCTGTTACCGGACCGTACCGCGACCTCAGCATTCCGTGACATAACATCACATACCATGCGATGGTGTAATATGACGCCCCCCCCCCCTCCCACAGCGCGACTGGCCGGAGGGGTACCAGCTGGCGTCCACCATGAACTTCACGTTCCCACCGTTCAGCCCGGCCTCGCTGGAGAAGCTGATCCCGACCGCCAGTGCCGAGGCGATCACCCTCATCGTCGACATGCTGCGGTGGAACCCCGGCAAACGGCCCACCGCCCAGCAGGCGCTCAGGTGGGCGGGGGGAGGGGTGCTGAGCCGCGCACTGAAGGGTAGAGACGGGTAGGGGCGCTCAAGGGGCTGGGAGGGAGAATGGTAAAATTGACATGGGAAGGACGAGAAGTGGAAAGGGGGCGCTGAGTCTGACGGGAGAGGGAGGGCGGGTAGGAGGTCTTGGGATGGATGAATGAAGGCAGCCGATGACCTCGCATCTGTGTTATTTGATTCTTTTGTGACATGTGACCTGTCCAATGGGGCAGGTTTGTCAGAAGCTAGGCTCGTCCCTCTGTATCATATGACCGCCTCATGACCTGCACCCGGCCCTGTTTGACCTATGCCGGCTGTCCCGTCCGGACAGGTACCCGTATTTCCAGGTGGGCCAGAAGCTGGGCGGCGGCAGCGGCGCCACGCTGCCCGCCGTCTCCTCCAAGGTCAGCCGCGGCTCGTTCGCCGTCACAGACGCAGTCTCCGCGCGCCGCTTCTCCAAAATGGACGACGAGCCGAAAGAAGAGTGAGTCGGCGCGGGAGATAAAGGGAGGAGATTAAGTGGGCTGGGGATGGTATGGGTTGCGTCTCAGAGGGAGCGAAGGAAGGGAAATTTTAAGTTCATTTAGGTCCCTAACTCGAAAACCATGCGTGATGAGGATACGGACGGACAAGCCCAAAAGATATCGTTCATATTGCTAATTAACACATATCAGCTATCAGATTGTGATGCTACAAAACTTTTTCAATGACGATTTATGCGGTAGGTAATGTTTTTATGTCAAGAATCATTGAATCTCACTGATCCTCGCCCCAACGTCAGGCTGAGCGCGGTGCGTATGAACCCGGCTCTGAGCCGGACGGTGGCGGCGGCGCCCTCAGCTGTCGGCGGCGGCGAGATGGCGGCCCGCTCCAGCTCCCGGACCGTTACCGCCAAACAGGTCTACCTCAACAAGTCGCGCTACGTGGCCGGACAGAACACACGAAACGCGCAGTATGGTGAGTCGCGGCCCGGTGGGGAGGGTGCCACTTTTTGTCAAAGCTCGGGGTTACATGAGCAGAGTTAATACGCATTACAAACGGACTACAATGGTGAGCGAATATGAAAATCCGTTCCTGATACGCATTTACTTGCTCATGTAACCCCGGTAAAAGTTTTGTCCTACGGTGATTATCGGCGTGTTGTGTATCCAACGGTCATGCCGTTGCGTTCTCGACGAATTTCGTCATTGGCGACCTCTGTCGTGTTGGCTGGTGACTGGTGATGAGTGACCCATCCGACAGGTGGTGCGATCGTTAGGTCTCGGGCATGGGTGGTGTATCGCATAGCTGCTGTTGCCGACTTCGAATTAGTGACATTGACTATGTTTTGAACTGACCGTCTACCGCAGACAGTGTGGTTGGCGACACCATTTGTGCTACCACCCTGAAATCGACTCAGATGCATTGCCTGACTAACTTGCGACTCTATGTACTTGACTGTCCCCCCAAAGGGAGTGTCGCCGGCACCGAGTCGGGTATCGCCCTAACTCTAACCTCCCTGACTCCTCTGCAGGCAGTGTAGCCGGCACGGAGTCCGGTATCGCTCTTACCGGTCGCGGCTCCTACTACAACAGCCAGGTGGCGATGAGGGCGTCGGGAACCCGGGCCAGCGTGGCCGCCGGATCGACGGGCAGTCTGCACGGGAGGACCGACTGGGCGGCCAAGTGAGTTCGCCGACCCTTGACTTGACCTGTGACCCGACCCGACCCATCAGCTTGTCCAAGCCTTTCTCTCCTCCCTTCTCGTCCCGGCCCGACCCTTGCATTTGGTGGATAATCACTCGTTATTGCGATGTTTATCAGCTGGATTGTATTGTTCAACACAGGAGTTCACGAGGCATGCGTTTGGGATGTTGAGGTTAATCGTCACAGTATTTCCAACGCAACTCACTGGTTGTATTTTGCATGAGGTTTGATGTTTTGACGTTGCAATTGGATGAGACTGGATATCTGTCACTTTTTGATTCGCATGGTACACCAGAAATGGTTGTAAGATTATTTTTGCTGCCGTGTGGCGGCTGGGGTTCGGCGATTTTATCGCCCGTGTTGTCCGTATGCAGTGCCTGATGCGTGCGTGCAATATTGTGATAACACTTGTAACACTTGTTGCCGACACCTTGTGACGCCCCTGGGCTGCGTTCGGCGCCCCGTGACACCGTGTGCCGTGAGCGACACCCGTACGACACCCGTGTGACACCCACGCTGACACGGCTCGCTTCTGTTCCGCCGCAAGGTATAACATGTACAGGTCCCAGGTTGGCCAGGGCGGCTCCAACTCCAAGGCGGCTCTGCACGGCCGAACCAACTGGGCCGCAAAGTAAGTCGATCGGTTTGGGAGCCTCTGACCACAACCCGTAAGCTTGTCGTGGCTAGATTCCTGCATGACAGAACACCTGAAGCTGTTAGTGTTGTCTCGCGGTCGCGGACGGTCGTCTGTTGTGGTTTCATCAGGTCGCGAGCGTGGCCAGCCGAGTGTCATACGATGCCCTTGTTCTTGCCGGTCATCCTGCCAAGCCAACTTCCAGTGTCAACAGTGCATCCTTTGTTTGCGCCCCTCAGCCCGGCTGACCGTGTGTTTGTTCAACTGTTGACTGTTGATAGTCGGTGCTCGATTGTTGACGGTGGCTAAACGCCGATGAGTGACCAGACCGTGCTGGCCGCTGGCCGCCCTCCCTGCTGACTGCTGAGCGCTGCGGTCCCGACACTGACCTGCTGACCGCCGACTCAGCCGAACTGACCACCGCTAACCATTGTTTTCCTTGACAGGTACCTGAAGTAGCGTCGAGCGCCAGGTCTTCGGCTCTTCAATGTCCGGTCTCCTGACTGCTCACCGAACTCCTCGGCGGCGCAGAGAGAAGTGACGTTACGTCACACCGTGACGCTGTAACGTCACGTCAGGACACGGACGTCCAATATCTCCGTCCGGTCAGTCAGAGGACTGTGAGCACAGTGGTGAGCGATGTGGAGCGACTCCTAGCGGCCCCCAGCGGCCAGAAAGACACAGAGACAGAGACAGATAGACAGAAAGACAGAGAGTTGGCACGTCAGGCGTGAAATGGTTGGTTTGTTGCGCCGGTGTCTGTAATATGTAAGGATGAGAGTACGTGTGATTCAAATTCCGTCCAGCGCCAGACGTATGGTCTTAGTTATGAGGCGGGGTTGATATGTAAGGGTGAGATGTGTGTGATTCAAATTCCGTCCAGCGCCTGATTTGCCGTCTCAGTTTTGAGGCGGGGTGTAGAAGACAGCTGCCAGTGCTGTGTGGAGGCGCCACGGGGGTTGTAATTGGGCAGGGAGGGTTTCGCCGGTTCTGAGTTTTGAGGGGAGGAGCGAGGACAAAAGTATGGAGCCACGGAGCGCAGAGGACCCGACGATGAGCTTGTTTTGTTCGTGCCGAGCTTAACAACACAACGGTTGGTTTCTAGTCATTGACAAGCGGTGACCACCCTCACGGGGATATTCTCATTGTAAATCCTATCGCCTGGGACAATGCGTTTGCATGAAAATTGTAATACAATTGTACTCAGTTGTTCACTGGATGTTTATGAAGCAGATTCACAAGGAACCTATGCGTCCTCTAATGAGCACAACGAAGCTGAAGCGCCATGGTCAATTTTACCAGATGGCTGCTGATCACGAATGCCGCGTATCTTCTTCGTCCTACCAGGATTTTAAGAATCTAAAATTGCGGTGGCAATCGAGGGATGAGTATGTGAAACTTTCAGAGAACTTCGTATATTTTGTGGTATGCCACATTGCAGACTAGGACTGTATTGCTTCCTCATTACGCTACTAAAATACTGCACTTCCGAACATCGCTACCACGAGCGCTGGGGTCGGGCCTGTGTATCACTTCCCGAGTCTATCACAAGGTTTGCGTTTATTTTGCGAAGCACATCCCAAAAACTAATAGCGACGGTACACAGGCGAGTGAGTAGGCTGTGCGCCCCGCCGCCGGCCGAGGCGGCCTGCCTAGGGCAGTGGGCGGCAGCCGCCGGCGCACAACGCCGGTAAATATTAAAAACAACTCTCCTCCGGCCGGTCCGCGGCCGTCCCCGACAGCACGAGTCGACCGCGACACGTCCCGCGTGGCTCCGACGGGCCTAAGGCCTCCGCACCACTCACGCGCGTCGAGAGGAGCTCGGCATAAGCCCGACAAATACTGGCACACTTGTCACCGGACCACCGCGTAGCGGCCCCTCGACAACCACAGCTTCTCGCCGCCGCCCAGAGATGGCAGCAGTGGGCGGCGCTGCCTCACAGCCTGCCGCCACTCCACTCCCCGGGCTCGTCTACGATCGAGGCCGAGGCGGAGCGGATCATTTGCACCAGATAGTTCTCGCCGAAATTGTTATCCCAAAACTGTTGACCCTGACACTCGAACCGCAGCACAAATTGCAGTCTCTCGCCGGGCGAGAGGGCGCCGGCGTGTAGGGTGAACCGGAACCGGTCCGAGAGGCCGTCGCACGAGCCGGGCACGTACTCGGCGCGCAGCTCGGGCGCCGTCCGCCACTCGTCCAGCGTGTAGCGCACGTACACCGTCTTGTGAAAGTCCATATTGAGCACGCGAACCACACCGTTGACCGTGTACTCATCGTTGTTGCAGCAGACGTTTTCGAGTACGACCCGTTCTCGGCGCAGACGGTCCAGGAAGCCCAGGCTGCCGCCGGGCTGTAGGAACATGGGCACCAGCTGTCGCAGCGGCGCGCCGCCCGCGCCGGACGACAGCGCCGCCGAGCCGAACGACATCTGAAAGGTGGCTGGCGGCGGCGGCGTGGGCGACGGCGGCCGGGCGGTCATGTCCAGCTCCAGTCCCCGGAACGCCGCCGCGGGCACCGTGGGGATCTCATCTCTAAATGTGTGCACCCGCTGCAGATCCAGACCCATCGCGTCGGCGAACCGGACAAACTTCTTTCTGCCGGGCGTCTGCGGCGGCGTCTTGCCAGATTTGAGCGAGGTGCTGCGTTTCAGCTGGTCCGGCGGCGCGAACGACGAGGAGGCTCCGCTCGTCGAGGCCGCCTCGTCATCCGCGTCGGCGTCAGCCGAATCGGCAGCGCCGCCGACGGCGCCACCCTCGGCGCCGAGCGGGGGCCGCTCCGCCGGTACGGGGCGCACCGGCCGGTAGTGGTGATCCGGCGGCCGGTGATAGTCACGCTCTGGAGATCCGTGGTGGTCCCTCTCCCGCGGTCGGTGGTAATCCCTCTCCGGCTCGAAGGCTCCCCTCATGCAGCTGTAGTCCTGCGGGTCGTCGAAGCCGGTCGCTCCTCCGACGGCGCCCTCTAGTTCCTCCTCCTCCGGCAGCCCCTCGTCCTCCGCGTCTCCGGCCCTCGGAGTCTCCGGGTCGGGCTCCAGGTCGAGCAGCTGCATTCCCCGCGCCATCAGCTCGCGGAGGTCGTGTACGTCGTCCACTCCGAGCGCGTCGACCATCTCCTCGGTGGCGGAGCTGTCCTCCAGCTCACTGGCGCGGTCCTCCTCCAGTTGAAACTGCGGCTCGTCCGACTCGGCCGCCGCCGCCGCCGCGCCCTGCGTCTGCTCGGCGCCCTCCTCCTCCTCCGTGCTGGCGCCGCTGTCCTCCTGCTGGCAGGCGCGCAGCCAGGCGTCCACCTTTTCACTGGGACTCTGCTGCGGCCGGTTACCCAGGCTGCCGCCCACCATACGGCGGAGACAGTTCTGGGGCGGTGCGGGCCGGTCGGCGCTCTGTGCGCACTCACAGCGGCAGCGCGCGCCGCCGGGCACGGGCACCGCGTTAGAGCGGCCCGACGGCAGGTCCGCTGGTCCGGCCGCTTGTGCGCCCGCCTGCCCGTCCGTCGGGTCCGCTTGTGCATCGGCTTGTGCGCCCGCTGGTACTTCCGCAGGTCCTCCCGCCTGCCTTTCAGCGTTCCGGGCGGCCTCGCAGCAACAGCAGCAGCGCTCGCGGTCCCGGTTGCCGTCTTGATCGCGGCTCGGCCCTGGGTCGCAGTCTTTCTTGCACACTGACCGGTCGGCCTGTCGGCACGCGTCCTGAGTACACTCACAGGTGCAGCAGCGGGCGCCGTCCGGCACGGGCACCGCATCTGAGCGGCCCAAGCAACAATCACCGCTCGGCTCCGCGGCGGCGGCAGCGGCGGCTGCACCGGCCAGGGCGTCGGCAGGATCGGCAGCCACGGCTCCGGCAACGACATCCTCTACGGCGACACCAGCGTCGGCGGCGATGGCGCCGGCGACTGCTGCGGCATCGACAGCGACCTCGTCGGCGATGGGCGCCGCTGCTGCGGCGAGGGCTGCTGCGCTGGTGGCTGCTGCCGCTGCGGCGGCGGCGGCGTCTACGGGGAGTGGATGTAACGCGGCGGAGACCACGGGGGAGCCGGCGCTGTTGGTGTTGTTGGTGGTAGGTGCAGCGGCAGTGGTTGTAGCCGAGTTCTCCGGGAAGTGCAGCAGGACGGGAGACAGGTCGCGGCTGCCTCCGGCCGGCGAGGTCAGCGCGCAGCCGGTGTCGGCGCCGCCGGCCGCGCCGCCGCTCGCCGAGCCGGCCGCGCCGCTCTCCGTGTCGTACTCGAAGAAGATGTCAGCGTCGGCCGAGTCGTTCTGCGGTGCGGCGCCGGGGAGCGGGCCGTCGGGCGCGCCGGCCGCCGGCGAGAGACGCTCGCGGCGCTCCATGGGACTGGCGCCGCCGGCTTCTGTCGGCAGGCCGGCCTGGCTGGCGGCGAGCGAGATACAGGCCGACTGGAGCAGGTGCAGCCGGCCGGACTCTGGCGAGGCGGGCCGCTCAGGCGCGGCGCCGGCGTCCAGCTCCATGGCCGCCGTCCGCGCGCAGGCTACGCGCCATCTGTGGACACCGAACAGCGCATTACTGACGCCACCCTCGAAGGCAGTCATCGATGAGACCGAACGATCGGAGCAACACTACAGCGCAACCGCTGACGGGCATCCAAACAAACAAATCTTAACACAAACAAACTGAAATGAAATGCGAACGTTTAGTCGATCAGTTCAAACGAAGCAAGACGTAAATGCCGCTGTAATCGAGACAACCAAAGGCAACGACCGCAAAGCCAATTATCAATCATCAATTATCCGTGACATTTCTAATCCACGCACCTCCCACTAGAAAAGGCTAGTCCATGGGACGACAAATGCGACATTGGAGTAGAGCATGCTATTTTGACTCAACCTTGTGACCAAATAAATGCACCTTCCCGGCAGCTCGACCACATCACACGAACAGATATTTACATTTTCGCCACCTCTAGACACACAAACAACATTATCGTTTATCAGCAGGCTTCCCGATCAATATTTCTCCGGTCATAAGCCATGACCAATCCCGACTCGTATGCCAACTGTTGCGACTCAGCTGCCCCGGGCGGCGTCTCGCAGTCGCCGGGGGCCAAGAATTGATTGCACGAACGCCGCCGCCGGGGCCGGTGGCGCCGTGGCGTCGCCAGAGCTAATTTTAACCACCGACGGAGAGGGAGTCCTGTCGATCGCCGTCACAGATCCGGCGTGACAGCGTCTCAGGTCCCTCCCCCTCTCTTCTACCGTCCTCGGCTCTCACTCTCGATCGCTTTCATGAGACAAGAAGCTGCCCAGGGGACGACTGCATGAGATGAGTCATGAGGGCAGACTCAAGCCACTGGTCTGGTCATCGTGAGTCTAAAAAGTGCGACTCGAATTCTCGAGAGGAGACCGACACAACAAAGCAAACCGGTGCTGAGTGCTGCGAGGCGAGCCTCTCAGCCTCTGGCCGGCGTCAAATCGCACTGGGAGCTGTTCAGCAAGGACCGCCTGTGTCTGGAAACGTCAAATACGGAACGATGCTTCTGCCCAGTCATCCAAGCCTACTCCAAGATCCGATGGCACAACAAATGTGTTTGTTTAGTGCCGATTTGACGGGTAGTCAACTCAGCTGAAAAGGAGACTCATCGCCTTTGACAGAACACGGTTTATGACGAGATTCTCGGCCTATTGGTGGCTTGTCCCATCCCGTCCGTGATTTGTTATGTAACCCGGTTATTTTTAAACGGGACCTGTTTTACCACCAGAAGAAAAAGGTAACTGATTGTATAAGAAGCTCATAGCATGGAACGTCAAGATATTATTCTCGTTGTTAGCTGCGCCTAAACGAGGTGCCGCCATCCTGGCTAACATAAACCATGCCCGGCTATAGATAGATCGTTCCAGAACGGCGCAGACGGCTCCCGAATACCAACTGCGCCGCAGACTATCCAGGTAGCCCGCCGCTACTGGAGCAGACCAAAGTCTGACTGACTGCCCCGGTACCAACCGACACCCGCCAGACACGCAGCCGACACCCCGTGCCAACAGTGAACCGAGGTCAGTTTCGGGGGCCCACACTCCACCACGACAGCCATTGCCCCCACTGACGCACACTCAGACGCCGACGAACGGATGACGTCACAGACACGGTGACGTCACTCGTAGCAAGGTCACGTGACCGTCGCCGGCGGCGTCGGCGGTAAAAATAGAGGCCGTAACTGCGGAAGGCTGATGCAACCGGGCCAAATGCACGCGACGCCGGCCATCGACAGTTCCGGGTTTGGAACGACGACGCAGGGCGACCGACGGGGCAGGTGGCGGCCGCCGCGTAGGGCGAGACGCCAGAGAGATGGCGGCGCAGGCGGCTCCGGCGCCCCTCCACCTACCATCCGCCGCGGCTACTCACTGTTGGAGCCGCCACACACACAGGCACAGCAGGCCGCAGAGCGCCGCGGCGACACACAGCCGGCAGCAGCAGCAGCGCTCCGACATCGCCACCCCTCCCCGCGTCCCGTACGCACCGTGCCGACTGGCCGCCCGACCACCGCTCGCAGAGCTCGCCACCCGACTGACGCCGGCGGGCGCGGTCACCGCCGCCGGCGCCGCGGCCCGGTCACGGGTCACAGGGGCGGAGCCAGGCCGAGAGGGAGGGGAGGGTCAGGTCAGTCACGCCACTGCGGCGTCTGTCGGGCTGTCAGGGGGGAGAGGGAGGGGTGGGGACGACAGGGTTCGCCGTTCGGCTTGGATGAGTCTCGCGGGAAGGTGTGTTGAATGAATGGGTGTTGAAAGCTATGGCGATGCCAGGAATATACCTAATTGAGGTGAAGCAAAGCCTGGTTAAAAATAACGAAAAACGGCACAAAAAAACAAGGCCCTGTGATTGCACCGTGCCAAAACAACGGAGCCGTCTAAACGGTAGGCACCGAAAAGGCGATGACGATTGATGACTACGCTTCCTTGGAAGCTGAAGCCAAAACATGGATGAGTCTGAGCAGACGATGGGATGAATCAGATGGGAGTATAAGGATAGATGACGTGCATTTCAGTGCCTTGATACCCATCCGATAACAGCGAAACCCAATCATGAGCAAACGCTGCGCGGAGTCTTCACGATAAGCACATTTTGTCAAATGGTACAGAGAGACGTGAGTTCTAGGCATTGGTCAGCTCATAAACACCCGGCCAAGAGGGCCACTGACGGATGCTGGTCGTTCTAGATTTAATAAACTTCATCTTCTGTGCATTGGAATTCCGGGGCAAAGGTTCTGAAAACGCTGTATGACGAGCGACAAGCCATTAAAGGGACTATCCCACCTTCTAAAATGTTGTTAAAACCAGTTAAATTGTGCCCGACTTTATAGATTGGATGACCAGGATCACGGTTCTGGCATTTATTTTTCATTAAACATCTTAGGCTTCCATATTCCAAACACAAACTTTCAAATAGGTATGTGACGTCACAGCCCAAAATTACCTCCTTCCCCAGGCCACATTACTGCCATAAAGCTGATACTTTTTACTCTGTAGGCACCACAACAAAGTTCAAACCAAGTTTTAAGCGATTTTTCAACGAACAAACCCATTTAAATCAGAATGACTAAACGAGGTGACGTCACACTAACGGTCGCTCCATGTTGAAGATAGGGCCTTGCGCAAGGCCCATTTTCAAATGAAGGGAACGAATTTCTTCAACACCAAGAGGCCGCGGGGGTTGCAACCTAGATAAATAGTGCTTTCTGAACCTCGCCGCAAACTTGGCTATCTCAACTCAAACCCCATGTTAAAGGTGGGATAGTCCCTTTAACAGGCGGCGTTCGAAGGTGCATTTCCAAATATAAGCAGCGCTGCTAGACGGTGCCAAAACAGGCGGGCATTTGTTCAAACAGATCTGTTTCCGCCCAATAAAAAGTCGTACGCCATGCCAACCGGGACCGGAGACGATTTTATTTCTGTCGGTCATGGTAAGCCTTGGCACAGCCCAGTCACGCCCAGGAATCCCTGCTTTTTCTTCAACGTGCTTTTTTACCAAATTTAGTCCGAATGGATTCATGAGTGACTCTCGGCCCGGGTGTTACGCTAACCAGGGTTCGGTATGAATGAAATCACCTCTCGACCCTGCCCGAGCCTGTCACCACTCACCAGTGAGAATTTTCATCAATGGTTTAACCGTCCGTTACAATGAAAGCCAATTAACTGACTTGTCCATGTTCATGAATCGTTTTTGTAGCCTGGAATACATGCGGTCACAGACTTCATCCAGCCTGCATGGCAACACTCTACTTGGCCAGTGGCCAGGCCACCATGGTTTGGCACCGGCAGGTCAAACGCACGCGTCGTCACCGTGCTCGTCTATCGCGTTTTGCACGCCCATTGCCCACTTGCTTCTTTGACCCTAGATGGCGCTAGCGCCGACCGCCTGAAGGTATGCTGTGCCGCATACTTGAAAACGATGCATAGATGGCGCTAGTGTATAGCGCCGGAAGGTATACTGTGCCGCAAGGCTCGGAGCCAACGGGTTACGGGACCGCCCGCGGGCGACGCACTAAATGCACGCCCATGCTCCTAACAGTCTGACGTTTGCATGGGAACTTCAAAAAAGTCAAGATGTATGCATCTGCTGTGCTTTAGCTCAAGTGTATATCCGCGATGAGCAGGGGCGGCGCCACGGATTTTCGATAGGGGGGGACGGGGACGGGGGCTTCACTGACCGAAAACCCCAAAAGTAGATATTTTTTCGAACTACTCCGCCACCCATGATCCCATGATCAGGTGACAATATTGATCGTGTATGCAAAAAAAAGCGAGGCACGTAACGCCGCGAAACTTGGCAAAGCCCAAAACACATCGAATGGTGCATCCCGTTTCCAAACTTATCCTAGGACACCTTAGATCGATCACTTTTTCAAGCATCCTTGCCTCTAAATCAAAATTTGCAGTCTTGTCAACTCAAAGCTGGTTTCCTACAAGCTGCGAATTGCTTAGGTATGAGTAGCAGTGCCAACTATTCTTATGTTTCGTACTTTCAAATTTGCGATCTTATGTCTGGTCAGCTTTATGGCTTCACCATCATACAGCCATGGCGGAAAAGTGTGAATGTCTTCTTCTCTGACAAGCGCGCCAAAACTGCAATATAATTTCAGAATCATGACATCACCACCTGATCCAAATGCAACAGGCAGGGTGCAGCTAATGGCTAGCCGTCAGTGGTCATGTCGTCGGTGGTCACTCAAAAGGTCATGTTAGGTCATGGAAGGTCACCAGCCGTTATTTGATCACACTTTTTGATGGATTTTATTTACCTAGAGCTTCGCGGGAAAAAGAGCGTATGCACCGTTAAAAGTTTAAATGAAAGGATCTCAGGTCCGGCGACGTCTGATGTCAGGTGAAATGCCCCAGGGTAGGATTCCGGTCCTTGTTGATTAACTTCGTCAAAAATGGCAGTAGAGCTGCGATGTAGGCACCATTGTGTTCGTCATGATCGAGCTGGCACGACCTGCATCGTCCTCATATTCACCCTCCAATCGTAACAACTACAGCAGGGATTGGCGAATGGCGGGCACCCACTTTGGGAGGTAATGAAGGTCTCTGGAAACCTCATCTCTCATCTCTTTAGCATTAGTGGCTCTCCTTATGGAACAGGTTTCTTGACTGTTTTACCCCAGAATTCAAAGACTATACTCTGTTCCGTTTCAAGTTTGCAGTCGAAGTGCCCTGCTGAAAGCAGTGCGTGATTTCTGTATATACAGCTCTTACGTTTTAAGACGCAAATTCTTGAGCGGAGGAGCGATCTGCCGAAGAAACTCCAACTGCAAGCTTGATATGGAACAGACTATAGTCAAGGTAAACGCACCACAGTGAGCACAATTTGATAAGCTGGTGTATCTCAATTTTCATGTAGAAAGTTTCATGTAACACGTACGTACTACGTATCTAAAACCCTTTCGTGCACTCATGCAAAAGCAACTGCCATGTTTCAACAGCTCGTAATGGCATTTTCATAGCCGCTGACGTAAGAAGGGGAGGGGGGCTCGATTAGACCCCCAGCCGTTCGGCCGGCGACCGAACTCAGTTTTGCAGAAAAAAAAACCGAGTGCTAGGTATCCCCTTCACCAGAGGGAGCCGATGCTACCTAATTATAAGGTCTTGGGTTACTGCATGATTTTTTGGTCCTGCCTGTGATCTATCCGAACATTTCTCCCCACAAGTGCTGGGGTAAGATGTCATAGATTTGAAATGGCTTCTGTGGTAGAACTGCCATGCTTGAATTTGATTAATTGGGAATGGAAAATATCCATATAGTAACGGAAATCGAATTTCAGTAAACTTGGTTGTGTCGGCAGTGGGGTCTGGTAGTGAGGTGGGGGAGGTAATAACCCTGCCTGGCGCCCCAAAGAGGGGGGGGGGGCACGATCCCAGAGGGCCTGCCGATCACCTTATAACTACAGGCATCACAGCTCCACACCTTTTGCAGATGGCCAGGACCCCTTGCGATACATCCCAGCAGCAATATTTATTCAGAACCTGCCTTGATTAACCAACGATGCATTAAATGCGGCGGATAACTCTGCAATGCACTGTTATCAACTACTGAACGGGCCTCGCCGATAGGGGGGTTCTGTACCCCCCTAACTTTCGATAGCCGGGGACCTGTCCCCCCCGTCCCCCCCGGTGGCGCCGCCCATGGCGATGAGTAAGTCCATTATTCATCCCGTAAGACGCAAATTTTACCGCTAAACTCGGCAGGCCATGAGGGCGTTAAGCGTGCCGTTTGACCGTGAAACAAGCGTCAATCAATATTGGCCTTTGGTAAGCCCGGATAAGGTTGAAATTGATCGGTCTAGCGGTAATGCCTGCCCTGTAGCCCAACATTTCAGCAAAAGCGCAGCAAGGGAAGATTTTAAGTAATAATAAGTGGTTCTCATGAGTCGCATTCCCCATGGGACAAAGTTAGCTTCGCAAGAGTTGATAAGAATGGAGCGGCATCGGCAGAATAGTTGAGCCCGTTGGAAGTTGGCATGGAATCCTATACATCCTTTAGAGCTAACTTGAGCAGTCAGAATGCCAATTAAATCATTTTAAACTTCACTCAGACTTTAGACTGCCACAGCTGTCTTTGTTTTCGTCTGGGTTTCTTTAAACCACTTTAGTGTTGTAAAAGAATGGCAAATGAGATGCAAGTTTTTACAGATCAACGTATTTGAGGAGAGGAAAATCCAAATAATATTGAGAGCTAGTGTGCTTTATCGGATGACTCCTCACAGTGGGCATAACACACGAATAACAATGATTTAACTTTTCCCTGACCCAGTGCCTACATATGGAATTGAAACACGGTACCGTACTTGTATTACAATATAAGTCGGCGGTCTGGGGGCTGCTCACTGCCATTCATACACAAGCGCGGTGTTCAAGACCGGTAAATCGTGCTAACCACCGTCAGCCACTATACGGCTGTGTCTGATAACTCAGCGGGCCGTAATAGCGGCACGTCTCTGCAATTAGAGAATCGTTCTCTCACTTCTCACGCTATTGAGCCCAGAGGCCGGAGCTTCAGCACATGTTTTTCACACACTCGTCACAGTCCACACTCCACATGCCATTATGGTTAGATTGCGCCTGTTAACAGTGCAATTTGCAGGGATCGAGTTTGAGGAAATCTTTTGAAGTCTGACCTCACAAGGCCTGAAATGAAAACCAATTGGAAACTTTCACCGCTAACGACTTCTTCGTTATATATAAATTTACAATCGAACTATCCCAGCTGGAACACTTTGATTTAAAGTTTATTGATATTTTTCAAATAGATACCCACAAAAATGGATATTTTCGAAATGAAAGTCATATGGCATGGCTACAGTCTAAGTGACCTTAATCGGCGACAAACACTCACAGGTTGGGCCGGTTCGCGGATCCCGCACACTTCTGAGGGTCCCGTGTGCTCCTGAGTGCTATGCGTGAGAGGTGATACTGATATCACTCACACTGAGGAAGAATCGAACACACCACTCCGCCGTGCGTGCCCTCGTCGTCTCACTCGCAGCACGTGTGCTTCGCTCGCTCACTGAGTGATCATCTGATCACTGATCACAGATTATACTCTGCATACTCGGCACCATCTACGGACCATCCGCCACCGCCTCCACACCGACTCACTCAGTACACACGCCTCACTTTCATGTGACGAGACTCTCCGCCCGGGGCGTCCTCACACGTGCTACCGACCCGCCGACTGCCGCAGGCGCCGCCTCCTGCCGTGAGTTCCGTGGGAGCCACTGGCGCCCCGCCCCCAGCACCGTCCAATTATAGTGCCGCTCAGGGGTGACGTCATACCGCATGGCACTGTGCCAGACCCTTCCAGACCCGGCGGCGGCTGATGGCGTGGACTTTGATCGATTCGAGCCGGGACTACGCGTGCCTGCAACGGCGGAACGTCGCCCCCCCCCCCTCGCCCGCCCGCCCGCCGTCGCTGCTGTCGCCGTTCCGTCCGGTCGTTCGCAGCAGAATCGAGACACGTGACGTCACGGAGACGTACAACTCTGCCGCCCACCGCCCGCGGCGGATGTCGGCCGTGAGACAACGTATACGACAGACCCACAGAGGCGGAGGCAGGCCCGGCCGACGGCGCAGGCTCCAAACGATCGCGGAGTCTGGTCGGTCGGAAGTCGGGAGCTTCTGAGAAGTCAGCCATCTGACCGCCTCCCAAATTCGGTGCGGCTGCATGCAGAAACTGGGGTTGAATGACCCATGCGATCGTTCAAATGATCCGAGACGCTTTGCCTTTGTAGCGACTTCCTGTTGAGCAAGGTTCGGCTGAGTTCTAAGACCTGAGCTACGACAAAGCAGGAGCTGAATGTGGTTGGTGAACTTCCCAGAAAGAGCCTATGACGGAAACTCAGCAACCAATTGACCCCCATGGATGTTATGGTCGCTATAGTGCTGGTCTAATGTCAGGACACGTCACTCATGACCCAAGAGATCGAAACTATGATCGAAACGGCATTATTCCCTGATTCGAAGCGCTCAGCGATGTTATCATAAATTATAAGTCATCTCGGCTGAATGCCATGTGGACTGGATGCCTTATGATATCCCGACTCCATAGTGCGCTGCAGGTTCAAAGTCGGGTAAATGTTGATATCTGCATCAATAATCATTGCGACTGCCCCGTGCTGCCAGGCCAGCGTCGGGAAAGATGTCCGCTCATGCACCTAAGGTCTTAACTCGTACTGAAAAATTACCGCTGCCAGCGTCGTTAAAATTATTCCTCAATTAGTGCAGTTGGTCTTCATGCAGGTAAAGAAGGTAAAACTGATTACATTTTTCGCCAAAGTTCTTATCAGGGAGGAATGCAAGGTGGGTACAGGAAAAATACGAGATGCAACGCAGGGAGTTTCGTTAAATCAATACAATGAGTCAACGTAATGAACTGAAAATGTTGATTTTGACATTTCAAAATACTTTACACAGATCTTTGCTCATTACTTGCTCTGAAGCAATAAGCCAGTTCCAAGGCTTAATATGAATGGAGGATATATGATGCAGACATTTCGAGAAGGGTTTTGCAACATGAATTAATCTTGGTTGGGTATTCACACATGCGCATTGCACATCTAGTGGATCATTTACTATACCGTCCTTTGACATGAAGGCACTTCGTTCTTACTACAAACAAATCATACTATGTTAGGAATGCCTTCGTTGCTTAACCCCTAGCATTACGTCGTGCAGGACGCAGATGCATACTGCAAGCAGCACAGTAAAACAAACATGTTACTGACAATGCCCTAAATAATTTTTCACCATACCCACTAGCATGTATGTCTCATATAAGTAAAGGCGGTCGAGGACTGCCTGAAGGAAGGGCCAATTTCTTCATAATCCACAAACTCCTTCCCAATTGAGATGGCATCGATGAATGAACTTATGGAGACCATCGGCAACAAAATTTATTTTTTACCTATCTCTTACCTATAACAATGGACTTGCCTTTGAGACATAGCTTTTGAGGTATGATATGTACCTAGAGGATACATACTCGTAATATGAAACAAAATCCGACACGGGACTGCATCCGTAGACTTTAACCGTGATTAATTGCCTGTTGTTAACAGCAAGCATGCTGGAACCGATTCTGATTAGACGACTTCGTTGACATTTTGCCAGAACAGAAATCTAAATAAAACAAACATGCTCAAATGCCAAAAACTTTTTCGACATGAAAAGATAGTCTCATTCAATACGAAAACGTCATCCGTGCACCGTGGAGCAATTGCGTATCTCGTTAGGTGTCGTCAATCCGGTTGCAGCGCACTCTGTTGACATATAATGCACGTCGTCTCACTTTGTCAGGGCTACTGGACTCTGGAGCTGATTTCGCAACGGGCGCTGCCACGAGCGCTTTGAGTGTCGCATAGGAAATAATGTTAAATAAACTGGCCTGGGTTGCATCATTGGCCGGCGGCCCAGCCCTGGTCTGAGACCATGGACGCCAACCGACTCGGAAGGATCGCTCCATATCCTGAGTTGCGAAACAGGACGGGTGTCAGGACGACAGTCCTGCTGCACCTCAATGTAAATTATGATACGCACCCACTGCATGTTTGTGAGTTGCATGTTTCCAAGTGAACACGGTCGCACCTTTTGCGTCGTTGGGTGAGTTGGGTAAGTTTGGCATATTTCCGTCGTATACTGTGGGGTCCACTGGGGGTATGCTACCAACACAACGTGTGTCTCACCAATAACGTAACATGTGTCGTACTTTTCTGGGACGTTGTTCCAATGCCTTGGGGGTCTATGTTAGCAGCGAAAGCTCAACATGAAGCCCACTTGTGAACGGATTGACGATCCAATAACAACCCAAGACGCTTTGGACGCCGTCTAACGGTGACCTCTGCTCTCTACCTCCCCTGGGGGAGCCCTCGACCTCGACCGTGGCCGGCGGACCGGTCCGTTCGATCACCACCACCACACCACCATACCATCTGGTGTCGTCAGCGGCCCGGCGGTGGCCGACGCGTGCCGGAAGGTCACGTGGCCGGCTCCAGACGAGCTCCGACGCGCCGCCCAGGGCGGGGGCGGCGGCGGGGGCGGGGGCGGGGGCGGGGGCGGCAGCGCGCAGTAGCGGCGGAAGGAGCGCCGACACGCCCGTCGCCCTCGCCGGCTCATGACCTGGCTGTCTGCCACAGTCAGCGGCCAAGGCGCCAGGTGACTTGAGAACGTCACATGCCGCGAGTCTGACATCACATGACGCCAAACACGCGTGTGATGTCACGGGACGCGTTGGAGGGGTCTGGCTAACGTGTCAGTCTTCGGAGGGGGAGGGGGGGGGGCGAAGTTCCGAGCCGTCAGAGCTGATTGATGAAGGGGTCTGGGGACAGAGGGAGCAGGCTCAGACAGCCCATGGGATGAAACATTCAGAGCGGCTACTTATGTAACCAGAGTGCTGTGGAACACTTGTCATGCAGCAACACTTACAGCCAGGAATGCATTTGCAGCAGTAAGTCAATATTTTCGGGCCGTTACGTAACCAATATCACTTAAGTCATAAAGAGAACAGTGACATTTAGACAGCACCCTTATTTCGTTTGCTATTCAATTCGAGAATCAAATGCCCCCTGTCCAGCATCTTTGGCGTGCTCAAAATCCCAACACGCTCGAATACGGGAATGAAGTTCAAATAACGAAATATTCTTAACAAAGTCAGATGTGTCCGTCTCAACCATTCGCGGATGGCACTCAATTCCATCTCTGTCAATCATCATATAAAACAATGCCATTTCCCGGAAGTCGACGCAGCCCTTTCGGCTTTTTTGCTGACTGGTAATCGAAGCGGTTCTGTGAATTAGATCCCCTGGCTTGTCTCCGGCATCTGTGGTCGTCTAAAAACCTCAGATACCTTGCCAATCGTTTAGTATTCTCTCTGATAAATTTCGTTATTCACAGATCCCAGCGGTGGCGCAGAGGTCTATACGGTGCATCCAGTCTCTAGCGAGTTGTTAAGGCATTACCTGCACCGATGCGGACATTAATCTGGGGCCAGTGGTGGGTTATCGTCATTGGCCTCGGTATAAGAAGTTCAAATTCGAAATTAAAATGTCAGAATTCACAGAAGCACTACGGCATTCGGTTCGGTATAGGCACAACAGCCCAAAGGCACCTAATTGCCTGGGCAGAAAATCTGGATGAATTTATCGCTCCTAGACTGTATCTTGGATTTACAAAGACCCGCCTTATACTGGCTTCAGGCCACGGTCTGCATCATCTCAGGCTTTCAGGCGGTATAGGTACCGCTCTACAAACTCTGAAAACCGGATCGTTATGCGCCACAACATATGGCAAGGCGAGATGAAAAGCATGACCCTTCGGCCTTCAGAATTAACAAAACAAAATGCTTTTTACAGCAGCTTCGAGCTCGTATTTGAGAACGCAACGGAGAGGAAATCAGGGCTAGCACGAGTGATTCACATGCAAACATCCACAACAACCTACTTGTTGCTTTCCCGGCTATATCAGAGGAAATCTGAGGCTTCAGTGGGCGAGTTTGTAGCCAGTCCGGGCATTGATCTTCATGATTCGAAAACAAACACAATGAGGGCTGCTGACACAGCCAAGCTATCCGGCTACCGGAGCGTCCGGCGGCACCTGCAGTCGGCCGCCGCGCGGACGGCCGTGTCGACTTCGACGGCCGACCTGACCTGGCGACGGAGCCGGCGGCCGGCCGGTCGGGCCGACACGCGGTTGACCAGGCCAAACACGTGCCGTTCACGTGCAGACGGCGTCTGCCAGAGGCGCCCGAGCGTGCCCGCGAGCTGGCAGACTGTGAGCCGAGCCGTGCCGAGCGGCTGGGCCGCCGCCGCACCCGCATTCACCGGCGCCAGAGTCCAAACAGCAACACAATGAGTCATCGATCGGTCTTTTTGCACGCCGGTTTTAATGATGGTTCCCTGTCGATTGGCACGTGCAGCCAAGGAAATACAGCGCAAGGCAAGGAACTTCTAAGGTGTCTGACCCAAATGACTGCCGATTGGACGCTGAAAGAACTTTTAGCTATACGACTTGTCTCGGCATTGGTGTTCGCTCAAAGATAAACTTTACCATCAGCGGCAGCGACTTTGTATCAGATCAATAACAGCGATCGAAACAAGCCGTCCCGCAGGAGGAACTACATTTGTTTATGCAGGCCATCACAAGTTTGGTGGTCGAACGACGGGGAGCAAAGGCACGAATAACATGATCCGTCCAAAAGTGATCTCATCATATCAAAATAAGC